GAAGGGTTCTGAAAGCAGACATAACAGTAAAAAAAAAAAGACGGGTGTCTCCAAAATACGATTCACAGGAACAACTCCCCCTCCTGAGCCTCAATCATACATTTTCTATCCACATTTGCAAAGAGAAGGTGCTACTCTTGCCATTTCCTTTCTTAATGGATTTTCTGCAATAATAAAACAGATGGAAGATAGATGGGAAAATATGGGAGAAGACTCTCATCAATGTAATTTGGACCCTCATAAATTACATGCAATGTTGACTATATATCAAAAGCCTCATCTTGAACACTGTAAGCATAAGTGTTCTTTCCTCTGGTTTAATCAATTTCAAACAATCAAAGCCATTACTCCCAAACCATTATCATGCCCATAGGGTACCATCACTTGCTCTCTCTAAAGAAGCATGAAAATGAACTGTGCAGATGACCTGCCCCTGAGATGATGTTTCTACAGATATTTTTATATGATGGGGTATTCCATGATATGGAATGGATTATTGCAATGTGCTCTACATGGGGCTGCCCTTAGTTTTCAACTACTTGGAAGCAACACCGGCTCTCAAATGTGGCAGCATGGTCAGTAAGGAGGAGTAATGGGCATTCCAAGGTATGCCCATGTGACACCAGTGCTCCACGAGCTGCACTGGTTGCCAGTTGGCTACAACCTATAAGCCCTTCATTGCATATGGCCTGGTTATTTGAGGGACTGCTTATCTCCAATAGTTTTTCTTCTCCGATAAGATCTGACAGAGTGTGTGCACTTTAGCTCCCTTCTATTAAACAGTGTCATTAGTGGGACCCCAGAACTGTGCCTTCTGTGTCATGGCATCTGCCCTTGAATAGGATCCTCCAGAGATCCATTTTGCTCCCACCCTGATGCTATTCCAGAAGGCACTAAAAAATTGGCTATTTTCCCAGGCCTTGGGGTAGAGTGCTTGGTGAACCACTGCAAGATTTTGTTCTGTTTGTATGGTTTTTCTTTTTCCGGAGGGATATCTCTTTGTTCTCTTATTTTTTTTTATTAGGTGTTCATGAATGACCTGCCGTAGGTGTGCTTGAAATATGCTGATTTAGGATAAACCTACAATATGTGTCTGTAGTGTGGTGGTGGTGTCCTCTTTATAGTAATAGATTTTAGTAAACCCTCCAGTTCACAGAAATGATACAACTGACAATTAACTTAATCTACTTTATAAGTAGGCTACCAAGGAAGAAGATATAAATGTTAAAACCCCATTTGCTATGCCAATTATTTCCTTGTTACTATTTGTTCAGGAATCTTTTGCTCAGCCACACACAATGGACCCTCATTTACTATGGGAATCCAACTGCCAGTAAATGGAAGTACAAACAAGAGTTCATGTTTACTTTCAAGATGACTGATATACAGGTGCCAAAATATAATTATAAAACCTTTTCCCTGTAATCATGAAATTTAAGTCAAAACTAGTGAGGTATCAACAATTATTAGATGTTTGTGTAAATGTTTTTCTTCAAAATACTGGCTTGAAATCAAGTCCCCCGTGTTCAATGGGGCTTATGCTCAATGAAGTAAATATGCATAGGACCTCCCTTTTAAATTTTTAATTTTGCATTTACTCTTTGGATAACTTTCCATGATCCATATTGTTATTCACTGTGAAACTTCACTACGAATAATTAAGTAAAACAGTAAAGCACAGAGAAAATAATATCACTCTAGTATGTAAATATTTAAATAGGTTCTTCATAGTATGGGATCTATAGGTTCATTGCTTCTGTGCTTTTCATCTATTACAAAAACATACCCCAGCTATATTTGACCACAAAGAATGTTGAAATATTTCTCATGCTTCACTCACTTCCCTTGCCCTGATCTAAGAATTTAAATTATGCAGGCCAGCCAATCATTTCTTGGAATGGAGAGTACTAACTACTGCTCCAACACAATGGTCCAAATCAGAACTGGGACAGCCAGCAGAGTAACCCAGGCAAATATTACTGGAACATGGGGGAGATGGGCAGCATATCAATTTAAATAATAATAATAATAATAATAATAATAATAATATACAGAAGCTTGAAGCGATGGGACACTGTTCCTGAGGATTATGTTGCTTTGTGTTGTTTAAGTATTTATTCAGATAAGCATTGTTTTTTCCATGCACCAATCCACCCCAAATCCAACATTTAAAAATAATCCTTAAATAACTTTAAATAGACAAATGAAGAAATTCGTCACTTGTAATGGATGCAATAAATTGTAGCAACACACACAGACACAAATATTTTCAGGGAAGAAGTACTCTGAATCACTAAAAAGCACCATGAAAAGGCTTTAACTTGAGAAAAGAGAAGCCATGACTGAGTATACTGTCTGGAATTATAGATACAGTATAATGCCTCCAAGTTTGCAAAAACCATCACAAAGTGGAGCCATTTCTCACACATCAGAGATGAGAGAGAACTTTCAAAGGAAAGGTGTTACTTCCAGATGTATTTAGTTTCTTGTTTTACAAATTAACTCTAGATGCAGGTACTCTAGAAACCATACTCATGGTACCCTGAAACCCAGAAAAAGAATACAAAATATGATATAGGCAGCAGAAAGAGTTGAATTCTGGGCAAAAAATCACTACTACTCATTCATCAAAACCAAAGTAGTAATACAAGTCTACCTCACCTGACTCAGTCATTTTATTTCAGTCATTGACTAGCACTGACCTGAACCACTCATATTCCTGACTACATGTTCCTGGTCACAGATGGTTCCTATTCTCTTAGATGCTCATGTGAAAAAAAAAGTGTGTGTGTGTGTGAGAGAGAGAGAGAGAGAGAGAGAGAGAGAGAGAGAG